GACGGCCCGACCGACCGACGCACCTGACGCGATCCACTTTTGCACTGAATACATGTACAGTCTATCATTTCTGACAATATAACCAATTATCTCATTTATAGCTAGAACAATTCTTTTTTCTTTTCTTTTTTTAACATTTCGTGATCAAACAGCGGGGGAGGCTGCATTGTGCCCTTTGCCCCCCCTAAACTACGCCACTGCCTACTCAGAATACACTCACATTTACCTCTGCCGCCCAGAACACCACAGACCGCACCCACCGCTTACCACTACACTGATCACAGCATATCTACAGCTGCCACTCACAAATTTATTGAGCGTCAAAAACAAATACATGGGTTCTGATTCGTCGAACTCTTCGGATTTGGCGACCATACATGCAACCATCGCAACATAGACGAAATGGCGAAAAACTTTACTACTGCATCATCCTGTTATTTAATATTCTCCAGCGTCCGTGATATATTGTCGTTTGTATGAGTGGATGCGCACCCTGCTGTAGTTTACGTTAATGAAGCGTGCTTTACACGTTACCGGACATACGCATTTCGAGTTAAACACTAGCTGCGACTACTGTATAAACCGCGCCATACAATTACACGGAAGATGCACGCACAGTTAACGTCGATATATGTCGCATATATATTTTTTCGCTTCGTTTTCACCTCCCTCAACCCCGCCCTCTCTCCCTCTCTCTCTATATCTCCCTCCCTCCCTCCCTCCCTCCCCACCTCTCCTCCTCTCTTATTGCGCTCTCGCTCCTCGCCTCTAGCTCTCTCCATCTTCTCCACCATATTCCTCTTCCCCTCCTGCCCCCTCGTTCTCCATGCCTCCCTCCGTCTACTACTCGTCTTCTACCCCGCACCTCCTTACTTCATCTTCTCCACTCTTTTCGTCTCTCGACGTCTTTTTGCGTTTATTTGACATTTGGTAGTGCTTGCAAACAACCTCGCAAAAACCACTCACCTATAGCGCCTCGGCCCGAGCGTCTCGTCAGCGCACTGAGGACAGTGCTAGACGCCGTAATTCTCTGACTTTGCGAAATTATCTGCAGAGAGAATTGCCTATGCGCATAGCGCCACTTCGCACTGCGTCCCGACCCGACTAATCACAGCCTCGCTACTTTGTGTGCGAAATTTCTGACCTGCGAAAATATATGAAATATAAGGATGCGTATTGCGCTTATGCGCACTTGCATATATGCTCTAAATATGGCGATTTCCACTTCAAAGCTTAAAGACACCAGTGGATGCAGAAGGAGGAGGGAGGCGAGGAGAAGCTGATGGGAGGAGGAAAAAGAAGTGGAGGAGGGGCAGAAGCTGGTGGTGAGAATGAAGAATGGGCAGAAGGGAGTAAGCTGCGTGCGAGAAGCGGGCAAGGGGAGTGAAAGGCCAGAAAGGTGTGGAAGGAGCGCTAGTAAGCGGAGCTTAAGCTGCGTGCAGAGAAGGAGGCATAAGGGGGAGAAGAGTGATGGGGGCAGAATGTGAGGCAATTGAAGATAGTTAAAGGCAGACAAGCTGGTGAGAGAAGGAAGGAGAAGCGAAGACATACATGCCAGACCCAGCCCCCGCGTTGTACAGTCAAATGGGAAAATGGCGCGCGCCCAGCCACGCTTCTGCCTTTCTCCCCTTCCTCCTTCTCCTCCATAGCAGGCTTCTCCGCTTCTCCCCTATCTCCTTCTCCACCAGCTTCTCCCTCCTCATATCTCCACCACCACCGTACTCACGCCCTCTCCTTCTCCACGCAAGCTTTTGCTCCCTTCTGCCCCCTCCTACCATTTCCTCCAGCTCCCTTCTCCCCTCCTTCTCCCCTTCTTCTCCTTTTCTCCACCAGCCCCTTCCCCATCCTTCATTTCCTTCCAGAATATATATATATATATATATATATATATATATATATATATATATATATATATATATTAGTGGTTAGCATGTCTGGCTGGATCTAGCCCGACGAGGTTGTGCGACTGATTGTCTTCTAACCATAGCAGGATCGTTTCTGGGAGCTAGTCTGGATCATGATTAATAATAGGGTTAGGGTTAGCTATAGGATATTAGGGTTACTGCGATGCTTATGGCTAGTGTTAATTATGATTATGGATAGGGGTTAGGACTTAGGGTGGCTAGGACTTGGGAATAGAAATTCGAGGAGAATATATAATGGTTAGTGATGGCGATGTTGTACACGGTGGCGTCCTAAATTAGCGCCCAGCCCGTTGCTACCTACGACACGGACGTTCCCGACCTCTCCCACTCACCAGATGAAGTCCTTGCAGTGACTGCAGAACGTTGGTTGCCTGAAGAAGCGCGCGATGAACTTGTGGTCTTTCACCTCGTGCACGTTCTTCTGCCGCAGCGCGCCTTTGCGAGCGAAGCCTCGGCCGCTCGGCCTGTGCACCTCGTTGTCATCGACGGTCGACACCTCCGACATGACTCGCAGCTGCTGAGAAACTGCTCACCGCACGAGAGCGAGCGGGCCTACGCGCAGCAGCAAGCTGGCTGTAAACTCAGCCGACTCGAATACTCCCGCGCGGGGGTGGAAGGGTAGTGCGGAGGGGCGACGGCAGAGCGATCGTGTGTGAATAGATGCGGTGAAGGTTCCGGGAAATCGTTTGCCCGGATTGTTGTCGGTCGGTGATGACTCAGTAGGTGAATCGTGACATGATGCGGACATGCATGTATACTAGAGAATACGCTGGTTCCGGTCTCATTCAGGAAATATTAGCAATAATAATATCAGGGGTTAATAATGACAAATCATGGCATGTCATTATTAACCCCTGATAACATGTAAAATCAGATCACGTGGTTGTGCAGCGTTGGCTGTGACAATGCAATGCAATGTAATATAACAGAACCTAACGAAATGTAATGTAGGCCTAATATAATGTAAAGTCGTAATGTAACGTAACGTAACGTATATCGTCGTGTTTTTGTAATGTAATTTCATACAATTTAATGTAATGTAATTTAACCTATTTTAACAAAACGCAACGCTATGTAATGTTATGTAATGTAATGTAAGGTAACACGTACCCAGTCATATTTCAGACCTTACGATCACTTTTACAACGCATCCACGCCCCTCTCACCTATTCCCCCTTGTGCGTATATCTCACCGCAGACCCATTTATAACTCATCAACATGCGACTCACCGTCAGTTTTCAATGGCCATGGAAAACAGCACAGTGAGAGCTTTACGAAAGAAACTATGAAGTTGAGTGCAGCTGGGCAACAAGTTTGAGCTGAGTAGCATATAGCAGAGAGACCGCGCATTCCCGAAACAGCATTCATCATTGGTTCCGCTTGGCCAACCTCTGACGACTTGCAGTTCGTCGAATAAGTCGCCGCATTGAAGAGATCTAGTAGCAGCATTCGTAGGAAGAGAAAGGGAGCCTGTGCGAAATAGCAAGAGATATGCGAAGGACGTACTGGAACCACTGACTGGGACCCATCTAGCAAGATAGACCGCTGGCAATTCACATTGCATTGAAGCATGCACGAGGTTTAGTTTAAATTCGCGAAGAAGTTACACCGCTCGGTTCTTGTCGAATAGATGGATTTGCAGACGACCTGCACACGTAATTAGTTCGACTTTCTCCTTCGTCGGTCGGTCTTTTGTATCTCAGAACTTTAATAGTTCAGGAAGCGCTATCATGTTCGTACGTGCACATCGTGATCGAGTCACGTCTGCGTGCGTCCAAAGCTCATGCCCACGAAGATAAGGCGAGCTAAAGTGCTCTAATGCATTTATACGCATTTTCCGGGACTTTTTGCAATAATTATTCTATAAATATAACGCGGCAAGCAGGCAAAGTATATGTTTCCATACTAATGATAAACGCAAGATACAGAATCATAATTACAGTGCCATATGTCTAGGAAATTACATAATTCGCAGGATTGCCTGTCATGACATTTACCATGCACGATTGCATTTTACAGACTATTTTATTTTAATCGTCAACATCGACGACAGGTTTTCTGATATAGCGGGAGATATTTTAAAATATCAATAAATGGATTTTCTGCCATCGTATTTACTGCGTGCATGCGAAATGGGAATTGCCATTAGTCAGTTCAGGTTCAACGGATTTTGCTCATTTTTGGTATGAATGAATAAGAGCCAGGGGTTTTGATATAAAAAAAAAATTATGCAAATTAGGTAGGTTTTGGCAATTATATAGCATCTTATGTTATAGACACGCAGATAACAGTCTGTGGTGTCACACTCGTCTGGTTCGTTTTACAAGATTTCATTGACAATATCTTTAATGCAAAATAGGTTTCCCCTCCACCCTGCCGATAAAACGTCTATATTAGAGTAAAGTTTTACAAAACATGTTGGAACGCAGCATAACCTATTTATTTCGAACGCCATCGCTAAAAAAACATCAAAGCGGGTATAGCGCCATCTACCATCACAAATTGTGATTCAATTTGGTTTATAAATTTTTATTGCGATATACAGATGGCAACCGTGTGCTACCGCCTAGAAAAACTCATACGAAGTAAACACTTCCATCCAACCAATTAACCTTTGACAAAAGTTGTGTTATGGGCAGGGAAACACCATTGTCACGTGGTATATAGCAGCTACGTGGAATAAGCGTATCCTCTCAATCTTACACGTTACACATCGGGAGCTCCGATTTTAGGCAGTGCCTAAATCTGAATATTATAAAAACGTTAAATGGCGATCATTTAGGTGTAACGCCATTACTCGCCCACATCTCAGACTTTCACATCTCAAACATTTATTTTCACATAAAAAATACACAATTATCAAGAGTATATAATGGGAGTTCTCCCATATATATTCTTCATTTCTATAATGTACGTCGATGCATGGTTGCTCAATTAAAACTGACTTCTTCTCACTCACTCATTTGTGTCATTTTTTGTTGTGAGCTACAGTGTCATTGACACTTTCATTTTCGATTGTAGTCATAGATACGTATAGTATATGAACGTGTGTGCCGTGTTGATTCGGAGAATAAAGCTCAACGATCGAACCGAAATATATCCTCTAACATTGGTGACAATAACTAATGTTTAAACATGCAGATATATGGTAGTTAATTGTCATTCCCTCTTATGTAGCACGAGTTTCTTAAATGTCTGGTCTTAGTCAGGTTCACTATGTTTTTTCGTTCAGAAATATGGTAGATTAGCAAACCTATACATTTTTGGAAAGGTCATAGCATGAGGAATCCGAAAAACAATGTTTACATTTGCGGAGATACCGGCATGGCCGCCATTTCCGGATTTTCAAAAGTGGCCGCCATAAAATACATATTTGGCCGGTATTTCTGCCCTCTAATCACCCTAAAAACTTCTTTAAAATAGCTAATCCTATGTTTTCAGGGACAAGGAATCCATTGGTGACATAACCAGACTTCTAACTGTAACACTTGGTATTTTGTTTCAGGAAATCTTGTTATTGAAACAAAACAAAATCCATTAATATATAGCATATATGCGTTCTGCAACATATAAAATGCCCACCTTAGGTTGGATCATAGCTTCTGCTCTATCTAGATCAAAAGAGAATGGAAGCAGAGCCACACTCCCAGGTTGGCAGGGTTCAAATGCACTCGTGTCAGCTGGCCAATGTCTGACCCACGTCGGCGCACTACCACTGCCCCTGCAGAAGTGGCACATGAGGTGGCCGTACCATGCTGTACTGTGATTCTGCAAGCATCCGAATTGAAGACGTTGGTCGTTGGTAAGAATACCCGACAGTGATTTCGTTCGACATTGGCCACTGTACGAGCAAAGGCAGCTGCAGTTACTGGATTCAAGACTTGATCTGAAAGAAGCAGTTGTCCCAGACTGGGTGTGAGCTACATGCTGTGATGGCTGCGCTGAGAGCTCTGGGAACGGTCCATAGAAAACTCAGGGATAGATGATGCGTGGATTGAGGCTGACGTATACGGCTCTGCACACCACCAGACAGATCCTTAAGTGCGCTCACTACAGAGAACCTCTTCGTGCACACATCCACACTTATATTGGCTCTATATGAACTTGTCCTCGCGAACAGATCTTCCACAGAAAAAGGCCCAACCTTACAAGCATCTTGGCGTAGAAGCAGCCAGATAATGTCAGCAGGAAGCTTGTGGCAAAATCAGCAGCTGACACGAGCCTCAAATTCCTCCGAAAGGCGTGACACAGACCAATGACGACTCTCGTACAAACCCTCACTAAGCGACGACGTGCATTCAACAGCCCCTGATGTGGGAAGCGCAGTACAATCCTCAAATGCAATGTTCACAGTCTTTGATGAACTACATCCACCGCGGTGAAACCACTCTGGCACTTCTGTTGAGGCATCCACCGGAATCGCCAATCTCGTGTCTCGCACCTCTCAAAGCTTGGGACGGCACTAAGCGAAGTTATTCTTCGCCATCATGCGAATAAAATACAAGCGCCTACTGGCCACGCTACATCGCCAGAGGGGGGGGGGGGCACTGCATAGTTGGAAGAACAAAGCCATCCAGAAACCTGCCGAGTGAACCTAAAGACAGGAAACATATTGGCTTGACAAGAGTACGATCCCACGTTTGTCTCGGATTGGAGCCAGATCACGCATGTGAAACAATGCACACAGCGCATGATGCAGATACATCTGCTGGTTTAATGCCACTTTCGAATAATGCCAACGCTCCGTTCAAACGCGCTTCTTCTTTGGGCCACTGCCTGAGATGGCACGTCTTTTCACGCTGAATTCCAGCGCCAATTCAACTCCTTGCTGTAAACCAGCCACAAGGATCATGAATCCCCGTTCAGAAGCCCAAGAAAGTCGCTGCTGAGCAAAGCGCGATGACAACGCTTGATCGCCATGAAAGGCTGCCATACTGCGAGTCACGGGCAATCCGCTTGCGCTGCTGACGGTGACCACGCTCTACAACACTTCATCACACAGCATATGTCCCACAAGAGAGTGTCTCACAGCAGCGCTGAATATCGCACGCCACTGGCAGAAAGGACTAGTGATGTGGATTACGTCTGAGCAGACGCCAGTTAAGTCGGCAATCGTCAGCTTTGTGGGGCACCAGTCAGAAAGCAGAACAACAGCGGACTGTAGCATGTCAGGAAACACAGCAAGCACAACGGTAAAGAATTCCCGTGCCAGTCAGTAGAGTCTGAAAAACGGAAAGAGCTGTACGCGGTCTTGGATCGGTACTAGCCAGATGCAAGCCGTGACATCGATCAGAAGCGCACCGTTGGCGATTGGGACACTACGCAGTTCACCTCTTACCCCCAGAGCACTGTTTGCAGCGCCGACGGTTCGAATCCTACCATGTACGGACAACGTTCAAAGCTTATCCATAGCCTTGACAACTTTGGTAAAACGCACAGAAAGTAGCTGATGCCACGAAGCAGCTAGGACAGCACAGAACAGGCTAATGATATTGCTGATACAGGGAACGCCCATACTAGCATCAGCCATCTATGAAAATTGCTGTTGTTGATGGACATGGTACTCGTCCAGATGATGACAAAGAAACGCAGCGACAACACCGAGTCAAAGATCTTCGGTCATCATCTCAACGATCCACCTTATGAACATGACAGCAGCGATCCGACGTGGATTATCTTGGGTATTCGGACACATACAAGGCAGACTCATTGAAGCAAGAAAACCACGAAAGAAACGACGGACAAGCGCCAAGGAGCCCTGCTTCAACTACCCAGATGCAGGAATGATACAAAACATTCAAATCCATATAACCAGATGCGGCCGCTTCCTATCTCACGATAAAAGACCGACAAGGCTGATCCTAAAAAAAAAGCATATACCTTGGCCTGAGCAACACTGGAATATAGACGAACTCCCCATAAGTTACCATCAATCACGTCAGGCATCGGGCCATACTAGAAGGCAACCAAGCAAAGAAAGAAGAGGCATGGCAGTTTGACCCCAAACAACCACGAGGAAGCTGACACATTCGATGATCACAGCTTAGCAGTAGCCGGCACTCCCAAACCGCTTTATCCAGCAAGCCACAGCTAGTCTTCTTCACACCCAGACTGCATGACGTCCTAGTTCTGGCGTTGCCGCCTATGACCAAGCTCTGGCAAATACACATCGGATGGCCATGGCTATCAGGGTATGGTGGGAGGTAGGGCCCATCTGGAAGCTGCTAGGAAGAGACAAGGAACACACGTTACTGTATTCCACGCCACTTCACTGGGGGCAGAACATATG